TATAAGGCTTAGGAAGCGCTTCATGCCCTACAAGCCCTACAAACACTCTAAGCTCTAGAAACCCTCGTTTTTGTTCATGACCTCAGCTGCTTACGTGCTTCAGGTGGTTAGGGCTTAGGAGTTGGTTGGGGTTTTCAATTTGATTTGCAAAGGAGGCTCTGAAGTCTATGGAGGCTCGTGGTGGCTTTCGGCTAGGGCTGTCAGTGTTCATGCTTGGAGCTTCATGGGTAGTTACAAAGTGGGGTACTTAGTAGGGGAACTATAGTCATGATTCATGATCTATATTCGGGAAGGTATGGCCCCACTTAGAATCTTAGAACTAGCCACGATCCTCCCACAAGGCCGAGGATGCTTATGGCTTACATGGGCATGCAAACCAGAGTTTAGGGTTGAGGCTGGGGCTTAGGTAGGGTGTTTCCACGCTCACACTCGCACGAGGCAGGCAAGGCTGCACATTCGAGGATTCTAAGGTATAGGGTCTAACACGCTTGAAAGGTTTCCGTTCATGTCTGGACAACCCGGGTGAGGCTTCACAAGATCCGATGTCCACAAGGCGCGGATTCGGCCTCATGGTTTCGGATCAATCCTCTATCTGAAGCGTAGACCCCAAACATGTAGGTGGCTTTGCTCGCCGGAGCGTTCGGAGAACGACGATCAACTAGACAAGCACCGAGAAGCTATACTACCACGGGAGCCCAAACGCCGTTAGTGCAACTTACTGGTACATTCCGTCATCACGGGCTTTCTGGATTTTGGGGAACATCGGAGCACCAAAATCAAAGAGTAAGTGTTTTTGCATCATGGGGCCCACAGCCACAGCCTCTCCCGAAAGATAGGAGAGTCAAACATAGTCATATAGAGGCTATTTTGAAGCACAGAAGCGAAATCACTGTCTTGAAGAATGGGCTTTCGTGCATTTTCTTAAGGAGTGAAGGATCCCGGCCCGTCGAGTGCCTAAGGCTCCTATCCAAAGAGCGCCCATAAGTACTATCATATGGACCCTCGGCCCTCTTTGTGGTTCAGCTGGAAGACGTCAGCATTCTCAATGTTCGGGTTGTCCATCATGTAGGCACCTTGCTTGGCTTTTGCAGTGCTTGAGAGCCGGCAGAGCATCGCTAAGGCAAGTCGGGGAGCCGCAGCTTGATCTGCAACAGACGATAATTCCCTAACTCTACAGAGAGTAAAAAGGGTTGTGGATCGTCTGCCGGCCTCTGCCAGCCATCGATACGTTGCAAGTTGAAGAGTTGAAAACTGTACACCGGCAGTGCGTCTGCAATCACTGACACCCCTTTGAGGAGTCGTCTACATGTGTGCATGTATGTACACATATATGTATAGGATATTATACATTTCAAAAGGCAATAGGCGGTATGCATCCTATAACCAATGACAAATAAGGTAAATGAATACATAAAGAAACAAACACAAACACACACACACACAGAGACACACACAGACACACACCTAATCATATACATACATTACATACTTAGGCATCTGCGCACAGACACACACACACACACCAAAGCCCTAGAGTGAAGCCTATATACCCCTTAATTAAGGAATATGGCTTAAATCATAATATGAAGCCCTATATAATTTAAGCCATATTCCTTAATTAAGGGGTATTGGGCTCTCTAGGTGGATTCTATATATGAACTTCAAAAAGGAACTACTTTGGGGCCTTTGGGTAGACTTATTGTGCTTCCAGGCCGCCGCTCTCCAGTGTGCCTCCGGAGAAGTCGCCGCTCTGATCTCCGATGACCGTGCGGATTCTGGCGCAGCCCATGTTGTGACCTCGTCCCCAGAGGGCCCCTAATCCCCTTAATTAAGGAATATGGCTTAACTTGTGTAGGGCTTCATATTATGATTATGTTGTGACCTCTGATTAAAGGTTCATAGGTAGTTCTAAGTGGGGTTTATAGGGGTCCTTTAAAGGGATCTATAGGGATTCTATAAGGGTATAGGGTTTAGGGTTCATGGGTAGTTATAAGCGGGGTTACAAGTCCCCGAATATAGGTTATAGCTACCTATGGCACTTATAACCCATAACCCAACCTATAACTACCCATGAACCTCCAAGTGCTGCATAAAGCTCAGGGGGTCAGGGGACTTTGCAAGGAGCAATGTAGCAATGATCGAAGTCGGACCCAATGGTGGCAGACTCCAGCGCCTTCAATCGAACTTGCAACCGAAAGCCCAAGACAACCCCATGTTGCGAAGACGTGCGGATGCTTAGTCTCTCTGCTGCTGCAGACCTCTTGACTACCGCCCGAGTCCGGACACCCTTAACCAAAAGAAGCTATTCTTTATCTTTAGTTTGGAACCCTCTTCATTTTGAGCAGCATTTCTCCCTGAAGGGGTGTTGCAGTCACTGGGATCCCACAAACCCGGGACGCAGAGAGCGAGAGAGAGAGCACAAGTGTCCAGCCTGACCCCAAACCCTAGGCCTCCTGTCACCTAAGGGCTTCGGGTGTAGAGCCGAGGTTGCTAGCCACATGTTCTGCATCCCAGTAACCCGATATTTAAAGGTAACTGGAGACGTAAAACAGCTTGCCGAGACGAGTGGCGCTTTTTCATCTCCGAGGCAGCCAAGAACCTGACATTACGGCTCCGTTTCCGATTCCGGATTGCAGATGTACTACAGTAGAACGGTTGTGGCGCGAAGGCCTGCTTCAGACCCCGGAGCCATCTCTAGGGAGAAACCGACATTACCTCACCGTAGAAAACGGGGAATTGAGCCATGTTGCTGACATGTGTACAGACACGTGCCTATGTACATGCCGACGGACGTGCATGGCGACAGTAAAGACAGCTCAGTTACAAGCCTCACCAGCCAAAGTCTAACAGGCCTCTAGAGCCCCATTCGCTGATCGCAAGTCGCCTTGAAGCCAAAGCCCGGAAATCAACAAGACATCACCAGACAGCTGAATAAACTCTTCATAGACAGCGTGACCATGTACATCTTTCAGCCACGCAGATCCGCCCAGGAACGCGCCGATGTCGGAAGGGATGCTGTCGAAGCCGCAGCAGTGGACCTCACGACTGGTCGGTCCAGGGTTTCGGGCAGCACGTCTTTGGTCACGCTGTTGTCCGATCAACGGACCCATGGCTAAAGTTGAAGAAGAACTCCAAACTGAGGTACTGCACTTCCGGGTCCAGGTGTACCCGGTATACTAATTCGTACACTGACAGACTCCAGTGACAGACTCCAGCAGAAACCGTGGCTGGGTCTGGAGGATAAGGGGCTTATCTTTCGAAGTGACTCTCAGTCTTCTAGCATTTCGACGATATCTTGTGCACGCTGCTGCTGCCACCAGCTTTGCTTCTGAACGAGGCTGTGACTTGTTGAATCTCTGCTTTCCTGAGCTCTGCATTGCCCAATGCCTCTATTTGGAGCTGCTTCTGACGAGCAGCCCTGTGTAAACGTCGGGAGAAGGAACCCTGTTTTTAGTGTTTTTTGCCTTTAACCGATTTCTTGTGTACACATATCTGTATCAACTTCATCCGGGCTGCAATGAGAGACTTCTTCTCCTTAGCCTTTTCGTCGTAACGGTCGGCCGACGACTTCACAAAGTTCACCTCGCCTGTGATGTCCTTACAGCCGGATGGGCGCAAACCAGGCGTCTTTTTCAAACGCAGGCGGGCACATGACCAGCCAGGAACCAGAGCCGCACCTACTTTCCTTTCTAGCTATGTGCATAGCCTATATGCAAAACCAGCCCAGGTCGGACACATTGCCAACACGATGCCCGTAAACCTTCGAACAGAATCCCCAGGACCCAACCCGAAAAGGGTTCCCAAAAGTACCTGAATGCTTTTCTGCTAGCTCCATTCATGTTTGCTCCCGATGGCAGTCGACCGGATTGATTGCTTCAAGATGCTCAAGAAACTCAAGACTACATCAGAACAGGCATCGATGTAGCAGCTGCCGTTGTTGACGCAGGCCTCGACCACTGGCAGGGCCTGCATGCGCTGTCTTCGTTCTCTTCTCTCCCTGAAGCTCCCATACTCCTCAACGCACTCAGAATTCCCTCAGCTTGCCCTAAACCTAGATACACAATTACTGCACGTGGACCCCTGCGAGGTTTCTGAGGCAAACGTCGAAGCTCGGGAGGATATTGGAGTTCTGAGTCCCATGACTTTTCAGGGGTCTGCTTGCGTTACCGGAAGCCCCGGTCTTTGCGCGTTCTCCCTGACTTCGGCAAGGCCTTGTCACTGTAGGGAGTGCCCGCGTAGTTGATGATCACCTTGGAGCTCTTCGCGGCCTCCTGCAAAGGGCAGAAACCCTAATATAAGGGCCTTGATAGTCAGAATAGGGTTCTGGGGCCCGCTATACTATAACTATAGTAAGGAACCCCCAAAATAGTAATGATGTAGGCTCCCATAGTACATGCAACCCGGATCTAATGCTCTTGGCAGTTGTGGTCGTCATTGAGATGCGCTTGCTTGCAGGTTGGCGTCGGTGCTTCGGAAACTGGTGTTTAGGGAACTTGGCATCAGTTTGACGAAGGCTAAGGATGGATCTGAAGCCTGTTGATTTCAGTCAACTGGCATACTCTCCTGGCAAAGACTGAGCCCTGAACCGTACCAGGCACAAGCCGTCAACATAGGGGAAGGAAAGCCCCTGGTAAACGCATGTTGTCCCAGGGCTTTCAATGTTAGCCATGTTCACTAAGTCTTGATTTTGACAAGGACCTGATACCAGTAAGTAACCTCCATGTTGAAGGGTAAACTAATCCCAGGTCGAGTTCTAGGTGGTGATAGTCCTGACTATAGGGGGCCACGGCCCATTATAAGATTAGTTCTGGTCGCCTGACAACCTGCAGTCTTTCACCGTTCTGAGCGACCGATGCCTGCTCCACATCCCGTCTGCGCAGCATAGTCATAGTCGCTACAAAGGTTCATGAACAACAACCGAATAAATAGATTCAACCGAGCACGAGTGCTGTCAACAATTACTTACTTTCATAGCGGTCCAGCGGCTTGGTTGCCGCATCTCAGCATCTGGGCAGTTCCGTCGGCGCGATTTGAGCCCATGAGAACCAGTGCAGCAAGGCCGTCAAAACGAAGGTCCTCTTGTCGTTAACGAAGCAGGGGACGACCAAGAGCCGCACGCCGCTCTTCCTGCAAAGTATCGCCTTCCTCCGGTCCCGTTCTTGCTGAGCATGGAAGCTGGACAGGTCGCCGAAATGAAAGTAATTCTCGGGGTCGTAGTGCTGCTCCCCCTGGTATTCGAAACCTAATTTGAAGTTGGGGCAGTACCCATCCAACTGCAAGCCTTGCAGAAAAGAAGGGTAACGGGAAGGAAAGGTAGCAGGAAAAAAGATGGTCTCGAGAATGCGTCGGACCTCCGCCTCTGTGTGCCAGGTTCTGGCCGCACACTGAGGGCACCATGTTTTGCCATACAACACAGCTTTGGTCGTGGCAGGCCATCTGTGTCCCTCCTTGCATTCCCAGAGAAGCTTCTCGGACGAGTTCTTGTACGACCTGGCTAAACACCTTCCTCCGAGAGAGGCGGCATGATCCCGGACACGCAGTAAACCAATTTTCCTGCAGTGGGGACACCAATGGCCCCTATTCAGAACATCGTCAGAACTTGCCTGCCAGGTATGGCCATGCTCGCACTTCCAGGTAACTTTCGACTTGTTGTTCACATATTCAGTGGCCAAACACTCGCCACCCCGACGCGCCGCATGCTCCTGCAATTGGTGCAGGTCGAGTCGGGCCTTCCCTGCACAGAAAGGACACCAAGTCTCCTGACAAAGGATGCTGCTTGGGCTTGCCGACCATGTGTGACCTTTGTGGCACTGCCACGCCACCGGTGTCTTCCAACCTTCATAAGCTTGTGCGAGGCAGCTGCCGGCGAGGGAAGCGGCGTGCTGCTGCAAGTCCTTTAAGCTGCGCTTTTTGCGAGTTCGCCCTTTGCGGGAGCATTTTGGGCACCAGGTTCCACGGTTTAGAACCCTGTCCGGTGTGGCCTCCCAGGTGTGTCCCAGCTTGCACTGCCACAAGACCTTTGCCCTGGACCTGTTGTGCTCGCTCGTTAGAAGACACCGGCCACCTCGTGCTTTCGCATGCTCTTGCAGCCGCTGCGCTGGGATCCGTTGCCTGTTTCTGGCACACTCCGGGCACCAGGTCTTGCTGTTCAGCACGTTTTTTGGCAGCGCATCCCAGGTGTGTCCATGTCGGCACCGCCACGGGACTTTCGTGCAGTTGTTTTGATACTCCACCGCCAGGCAATTGCCACCCAGGGCCGCGGCGTGATCGTTCAAACGTCGAAGAGCATCGTACATGCTCTCCGGCCTCGGTTCAGCTTTCGAGTCTTTCAAGGCTAATACTTTCCTCACTGCACATCTCCGTGCAACGAGTGTTCTGCGACCTCTCGCGAAGAATCCCGCCACGAAGGCTCCACAAATGGAAAGCACAACAGCCCGGAAAGGATCATGCTTGCCGGCGGGTTCGACATGTTCCCGCCTTGCTGTCCACAATAGATCCCTGCGAATGCGTCGTACAGACTGCATGCCAGAAAAGGAACATGACTGCATGCGAAGACTTTGCACACATTGCCATTGCTGCATGCAGACTCGTTCGCAGTCGTGGGCGCGAAACGGAGGGAACGCTCCAATTAAAGAAAATGGATTTCCAACGACGGACAAGACCAAGCCCGTCTGTTGATTTGCCGTGCCCGGATGCGCAGGCAGACATTACTCCCCCCATACATCCTGTGGCACTTGAGCCAAAATCTGACCATGCATTGTCCTATGTTGCAATGTGCTGAAGGATTCCAGCAAATGGCAGTATGTCATGATCAACTCATTTCAGAAGCCTATGCTCCGTGTGAGTGCTGGTGCTAGGTCCATGCAGGCCCAAAGCAGCTCCACGGGCGACTATGAAAGACGAAACAACTCTAGGCTCCACATGGCTCCGCCCTTTGCCTCAAAACACAAGATTCCTAGTTGAAAACCCTGCGGGCCGGCACAGCTGTAATTAGATTCCGCGCTCAGCAGCGTGAGCAACAATTGAAAGTCCTCGAGATCCGCCGGGTTCTTCACATCCACCTTCAGAAGCCCGGAAAGCTTAGATGCTGAAGACGTGGAGTTGGGATGCGCTCACTGCGCCCAGTTAGAATCGAAGGATTCACTCTTTATTGGTGCCGTGCAGGCAAAACCGCTTATACACACGCGCCCAGTGCCTAGATCCCCTCTGACTCCGGAGCTAAGACCCATTCCTAAACCCTAAACTCCTAAACCCTAATCCGAAACCCAAGTGGCCCACCGGAATGGACAGTGGGAAGACGGCTTGCGAGGCCCAGTTCTAAACCCGAGACTCAGAGGACCTTCCCTTGCATCCACCATCCACCTCGCCTGCCTCTTCGGAGTTCTCAACAGCTACTTATGAGCCAAAGACGAGCTCGACTTTTCCGATGTGAGGAGCTCCGCACCAAGTTTAGTCGAAGAGAAGAAAAGAAATGGCACGAAAAGTGTCACGATTGTGGCCTGCTGCCCCGACTGTCCCTGGGCAAAACCACATCCCGGAAGCTTGCTGAAACAGCAAATGACTTCCCGAAGGCTGAACCTCGAGCACTGTGCACTCCAATCTCCTTCGACACCGACGGTTGTATATCTGGCTATCCTACGAACCTTACCGGATAATAAGGGGCCTTCACCAAGGGCGTGTCCTTTGCGCTTTCTGGCAGCTCCTGCCATCGCTGCACGTGGCCGGGAACTGACAAGCTCAATAGTGTCAACACCCTGGGTGCTTTTTTGACTACACAACTCAACTCCAATCTCGAAGCTCATTGAAATTCCCTGAAGCTCTCACAACTTGACACCAAACCCCGCAAAACTCGCCGAAGATTCCCTGAGCACCGACACTGGAAGCCCAGAGCCCTCGCAACCTTCCGGATCTTCTCTAGCTTGTCGAGGCTGCGCCCAGCCATGGCCCAGTTCACCTTCTCGCCGCCTCACATGCAAAGCCACATAGTTCTACCATAGGACTTCCTTGATTAAAGGGTCGGTACTGTAGGGTTCTACAATAGGACTGCCTTGATTAAAGGGTCGGTACTGTAAGGTTCTACAATAGGACTTCCTTAATTAAAGGGTCGGTACTGTAGGGTTTTACAATAGGACTTCCTTGATTAAATGGTCGGTACTGTAGGGTTCTACTATCATACTTCCTGAATTAAAGGGTTGGTACCGTCAAGTTTTACCATAGGATTTCCGTAATTAAAGGGTCGGTACTGTAATTAGGGTTCTACTGTCATAGGACTTCCTCAAAGGGGAAGTACTGTAGGGTTCTAGAATAATGTCCCGCATAAGGGTTCCTTTGAAGGAAACCCGCTTCAGTTATTAAAGGCTTCATGCTTGGGACAAGGGTTTTGGGGTTTATGTACAAAAGGGTTTAAGTTTGGGTCGGGAGTTTTTTGGTCTTCGAGGCAGATTTGAGGCTTAAGGGTTATGGATTGATGTCGGCTCCACGTCAGTCCAGGAAGAACCCCAAAACCATCTGCCGTTGCCTCGGTTGGCCAAGTATTCGCAGGCAAGGCGGCCGGTGAAGCCTGTTGCGCCAAGCACCTCGAAAGGCATCCGCAGGCCACAAAAATATGTCCATACTTAAGCTTCTGTGTCGGTGTGTGTGGGTCACATCTACGGCCTCGGGAATGTCACACTGCCTGCAAATCTCAGAACACCATGCGGCTTTCAAGTTCTACCATTTCACCCTGGACATAATATCTGGCTTCCCACACATGACCTTAATCCGGCCGCTCCAGGCACGAGAACATCGTAGGTCGGCATTTCCCGGGCTTTCAGTGGAATGGCAGAAATGGTCAGGGTTGAACAGAAATGGCTGCAGCGAAACGAGATATGACTCTGCCAAGCCCAATGTTAAGGGCTTCTGTCCTGCTGGTGTGGGCTAGGTCCTCTCAACCTTGCATTCTGGTGGCAAAGCAGGTGCCGATAAAGAATGCTCGTGTCACAGTTGTCATCCGAGCCGACGAATGATCAAGCCATCAGCATCGCTCTGCAAAAACCTCCAAACACCAGCTACGCACAATTGGCTCAAGTCTAGGCAGATTACTCAGCAGCATGACCACCCGGAGCATCACAGGGCCTCCCAATATCCAGGCCTTAGAATCGCAAGAACCTGAACCTTCGGTCTTCACGTTTTCCCAGCCCTGCCACGGAGTCTGTGCAGAGAACAGCAAGGTCGGAACGTTGAAACGGGGACCAGGGCAGGGCGGAGCTTCTGATCCGAAATGACCCTTGAAGTGCACCAGAAACACAAGGGTTTAGGGCGTCTAGGGTTTTAAACCATCCTATAAACCCTGCCTGAACCCCCAAAGTACCTAGAATAACAGCGTTTCAGATGTGTTGCGCCAGCCTGTGGGGCAGATAAAAGCCTGCTTAAGCCCTGAACTCCGGGTCCGGTGTTGAATGGTTTGGGGTTCAGGGTGTCTTCGGTGTCCCGAGGTCCCGGTCCTGTGACTTTCAGCAGCCGCACTTCTCACTTTCAACCGTCCATCGTCCAGCATCAGTCGGAACAGCCAGCAAATCGCAGACTCGATATGGGTGGTTGTCAGAATTATGGCCCCCTTTTGGGTCCCAATATAATACGGCACCTTATATTTAGGGTACCCAGCAAGGGTCCCTATAGTTTTGACAACTTCCCATACAGAAGAAACTTTCTTGACCTCTTCTGTGCGCACATAAACGACACAGGGATTAGAAGGCATTGATCCTGAGCAAGCCTTTGTTCTAAGCGGGGCTTTGCGATCCGGCTGACATTTTCGGAGAATTGGTAAGTTTATATTGGTTTAAGACGCAGTGTCAGCTCCTAGACCCTCTTATGTCCCCCAAGTACCCATTGTCAAGCTCAATGGCCCTTACTAGGGTGCCAGCTGTGGACTGTCTTTACTGGACGTCTGGCAGATGTCACTCGTGGAGGTAGCGGTGCTGACTTCATGCCGAGAGGGTTAGCCCACGCGGATGCAGGCTCTTCTTGAAAGGCGGGGTAAGTTATGAAGACTCGGGAACTAGTATATCAATATGTGTCTCTGTATGGCTAACAAGCGAAGCATGATCGACGTGGAGCAACTCTCAAGGCAGCTGACCTCTTCAAGTCTTCAAGTGCGCAGAAGGAAATCCACATCCTGCTAAGTAGCAAAGCATTCTACAGCCAACAACCCAACATGTGCTGCCAAGAGCTACTTCCTTTGCACATGAGATCTTGCGAAACTCAGCTGGGCGGCATGGCCGTCGGAGGCGCACGTGCTTGACGGGTTTCGACCAATTATTCACCAGGAGCCTCTAACAAATCTGATTCAGATTGGACCTTTTACCAACGGCGGCCCTACTGAGCACTGGCACTGAGACTGAAACGTAACCCCTTGTAGTAAACCCTTACAGCAGACTCCGGGAGCGCGGCTCTTCCGGACTCTTCCCCCACATCAGATCTAAGCACGACCTTTCAACTGGAGAACTTCTCTCTGACTCTTCTCCGCAAGCCTGGAAGCATCCTTCCTCAAGATCCTTCTGCCTCAGCTCTATAGCCCGAATTCCTTAAACTTAGACCAATAGAGAAAAACTGTAACTTTGGCTGTTCCGTATGGGGATTTTCGGAACCAGAAATCAAACAAAGTTGTCAGCATTCCTAAGCCTCTTACTACCTACGCCGTCTACGCTTCGGAGGGCCTCCGGTACGGCCAACTTGCCGCCCGGTTCTTAGCCTCAGCCGCCCGCGCCACAGGCGGCCAGGCGCGCCAGGTCCGAGGGGTCCAGGTCGTCGGTGCGGTGATGGGGGGCCTGTGGGATGTTCTTCCTAAAATTGGTCCGTGCTGTATGTTCAAGATGCAAACGCTCACATCTGCTGACAAGCCTCAGAAGTCATGCGTGGAAGTGAAGATGTGCGAGGCTGTATGGGTCTAGGAGTCTGAGAAAACACTTCGAACTGTGGAACCTTTCGGGAATCTTCGGATATCATCAGCCCCTTCCGGATGCAAGAAAAGAAGTGCGTGGCCCTGCCTTGCCGCCTTTGGGACCCTTCACCACGTAAGCGCTTGGGACCTCGGAAGACTCGGATGTGGCAGAGATTGCCCAAAGCACACTGCAAGGCTGGATGGTTAACGGTTATAGGCCTAAGCAAGCCAAGACAATATGATCTCTCCCTGACAAAGGAAAAGACACCCGAAAGCCTTTTCGAGCACGGGCTTTGGTTGCAGGCCGGCAAGCTGGGCTCTCAAGGTCTTCATGAGATACCAGCAACCTTGAAACTAACTCATGTCAAGCACCCGAAACCCGAAACCCTAAACCGAGCGCCAGGCGAAGAGCGAATGAAAGAAGCGGTACAGGATTGCCTTCCGGAGCCGCTACTTGAAGGATCTTGGGACTTAGTACTTGTGGTTATAACTAGGGTAACTACACTTCTAACTTTATTTAACCGTGGGACTTAGTACCTGTGGCTATAATTAGGGTAACTATACTAATAACCCCAATTAAGGTATTTATAAGCTTACTCACTAAGTCTCATGATCCTCCAAGTTTAGCATGTACTATAGTGGCCTTCATGATGAGAAGAGGGTTCCTTCAAAGGGGTCCTTCAAAGGCCATTATAAGGGATGTATAACTATCATATGGAGGTCTTCATGATTAGAGTAGGGTTCCTTTAATTAAAAGGGTTTTAAGGGTTACTAGACGGGATTATAAGGGTTTTGATTAAGGGCCTTAATAATCAGGCTAGGGTTTTGGGGCCCTTCATACTATAATTAACATATGAAACACTCCAAAATAGTACAGGTACTTATCAAGGCACCTACATTATAACAGTAATGCAGCAAGGCGTTGGGACCGCTGAGTACTGTTGAGGTTTACGCTCTCACAACTCGGACACAGAACCTCGCCTGAGGTTTAGGGTTTAGGATTGAGCAGACACTGCCCCGTGCAAGTCATGATAATCCACCAGTTGGTGGCCCATCTGCCCTTGAATGCAAAGTCACAGTCCTGCAGAGACCTCAAACCTGCTTGAAGACAAGCTACCCTCAGGAGTATGTTCACAAACCCCTCACCCTCAACCCTAATCATATAGAATTCCTTACATGGCCCTAAGACGTTCAGAACCCCAAAATCCCAAACCTGCACTTTACGAGCCCAAAATCCTAAACCCTCCCCTCCGGCCCAGATAGTCAGAACCCTATAAAACCTAAACCCTAAACCCTCTAAGCCCCAACCCAGCCCGGCCCAGATAGTCAGAAGCCACTCCGTGGCTACGTGCCGAAGTTGGCTCCAGCGCCTCTGAGCCTCGGGAGGCAGAGCGCCAGACATCCAAAAAGGGCTTGGGCTTTCCTATGGGTTTAGGGTTTTTTTTAAAGGGTGCATTGGGACTAGGTTTAGGGCTGAGGGTTTCAGGTTTAAAATTTATAGGGTTTAGGGTTTAAGGTTTCGGGTTTAAGGTTTAGGGGTTAGGGTTTAGGGGATTTGAGTTTAGGGCTTAGGGTTTAGAACCTTGACACTGGGCTTGCAGGGTTCGACCCTAAACCCAAATCCACTGTTGGTTAAGCAAGCTTATGTTATAATTAGGATCCTGGCTATTTGGCTAACCAAAACCAAAACGAGGAACCATAATGGCGACTGTACAGGTAGGGTGTATAGGAATAGAGGCTGTTGAGTTGGGGGTGTGGGCTGTGACATTAAGCCTGGTGGTTTGAGTTCACGTTGTAAGGTTTAGGGCTTGTAGGGTAACTCCCTATGACAACTGGCACATGTCTGCCTCGGACATCCTGGCAAGCTGCCTGCTGTGTCTGGCTCTCCTTCTGCATCAGCATCACGGAGATTTCTGAACTACCCGCCTGAAGAACAACAGGAGGACTGGTAGGTCTGGAGTGTCACTGCAACATCAGTGGCTGCACTGCAACGGTGGCTGCAGCAAAGTCCGCTGAATGCACACGCACGCGTGCCTTTGGAAGCAAGTCGCTGAGCATTGTTGATGCATCAGTGAGTACCTGAAAGCCAAGTCAAAGACCAGCGACTTTTTTCTCAAGTTACTTTCGCAGCAGGCAGAGCTCTTCGCTAGTCAGATGGACTCGGCACTGCGAGACCCATGTTACATGTGAGGAATCGGCAAACATGTAATGACCAAAAATCACGGAATGTCCAAGCTGTCGAAGTTTCATACTCCAGTCTTGGTCCCTGTCAGGAACAGGAAAGCCAAGACCAAGAAAACCTAAAAACATGCCTGACATTGACCAAGTCCTAATTTGTAGCATCGACGGCATTGACGCGATCCACACTTGCCCAGGCAATCTCGGCACCTTCCCACGGCAGATCAGCCGCTGCCTGTGCTTCGGCTGGCACTTCGGGATTTGATTTCATAGCCTTCTGCAGGGTCTCATGAATACTTAGAGTAGGGTTCGGGGGCATGTTAAAAAATGATACGGAGCTACTGTTGAGAGACTACGAAGGAATAACATCAACATGCTGCACGACTTTCGGGGTCTATCAGTCTAGAGTCTTTGCCGTTGGCGGAGATTTACCGTCAGGAACACCTGCTCACACCCTACATTGACAACAGTCCTCCTTGCCTATGTGATAAACTTAGAGAATGGGTGAACCTGCACGATATTCCGAACCGTCAACATCGAGATTGCATTTTTTTTTGATTTGCAGTCTGGATGTTGACGGTTCGGAATATCGTGCAGGTTCACCCATTCTCTAAGTTTATCACATAGGCAATGAAGTCCCCATACCTGGACCCCAAAAGTATGTAGAATAATAGTCTTTTATGGGTATTGGGCCATTATTTT